ACCCCAAGTCAGAAACGCCAGAACTTCATGGGCTCTTGGAGATTCCGATCCTCTGAGGAACCACTCAAGTCAAACAGCGAGGTCAGCCAGCCGCCCGTCCCAGACTCAGTGGGCGAGAAGTGGGCAGACCACCCACACTGCTCGCCTGCTCCGTCCCCGCTCCCATCCTCTGTAAATAAAGCCTGCCTTTTAAATGAGAGAGCCGGGCGTCCCCCACCCCCACCCTGATCCCCAGCCCCTCACCGCTCCCTGCCCCAGGTGAACTCTCTTCTTTAACTGCTGCTCACTCTGCCCTGGGCCTTTGAAGTGACTCCTCTGCCTGGGATGCCTGCTCTGCTGTAGCCTGTCGTCACCCCATTCTCAGAACCCAGCATGAGTGCCCACCTCCTCCAGGAGGCCTTTTGTGTCTGCCCCGTGGTTGAGCAGGCCAGCTTTGACTCACAGGATACCTGTACTGTGTGTGTTCAGATCTCCTCTGAGTTTTAAGGGGTGTGGAGGGGTGTGGAAGGAGCAAAGCCATGGTGTGCTTATGTTTTCCTGTTCCTCCAAAGCCCTGTGGCCTTGAATCAGCTACTTGACTCCTCTGAGCCTGTTTTTCCTCTTCTAGAAGATAAACTCAGGGGAGGACCCTTTCAGCTACTCACTGATGATGACAGTGGGCCAATGTGGAGGCTGGATGAATGCTGAAGGATGTGCACAGGTGAGGGCTACACTCCTCCCCTGGGGGTCAGGAGCTGCGGTGGCCCCACCGGGGCTCCAGCAGGAAGATGAGCCGCTTTGGTTGGGACCCATGTTCTCCATCATCTTGGGCCCTGGGTCTGGGCTGCGTGCCTGGGAGGACTCAGCTTGTATGGGAGCACTCACCTCGTGGTATGGGAACCACCTGTAACTGTCTGTCCCCCATAGCTGCCCCCTCCACAAGGACTGGGATCAGGTTTTCTTCAGCTTCCTCTCTGCAGAGCCCAGCATGGGGCCTGGCCCGAAGTAGGTGCTTCTAGAACTAAAGAGCAGATGCATTTGACTCTGGGAGCGTTCTCCAACCTAGGATAAGCCCTTAGAGATGATCCCATTAAACACTGTCTTTGTGCAGATGGGGAAACCAAGGCCCAGAGAGGGGGAAGGACATGCTGAGCTCAGGTGGTGACACTTTGGGGACAGAAAGATCTATCTGGGTTTGGATCAAGTTCTTCAACTTCTGGCAGCGGGGTCTTGGTCAAGTCATTTGTCTCCCTGAGACTCAGTTTCCTCATCTGTACATGGGGTTGTTGTGGGGACAAAGTGAGACTGCGTCTATGAAAGCCTATGGGTGTAACCTCACACATATTATGTCTCCAATAAAAGGTGCGTTCTTTTCTCTCGCCCACAGTCCTGCACGCTAGTGGCAGGTCTGGGGAGTGTTGGGAGGGGTGGAGAATTGGGCCACCTGTTCTCCCCTTGGCTTACTTTCCACCCCCTCTGATGAGGAGAAGCTGGCCGTTTCTCCCCTCTCAGCCGGCCCAGGCCGGTCAGCCAGTACCTGATTCCGCCCCACGCACCTTATCTATGGACAGGAGCTACTGGATCCTCCCAGGAGGGTCTAATCAATGCCGCTGCTGGCATTTTCTGCCAAGGTCTAGATCTGGTTTCCGCACCTTCTCCATTACGCTGGCTCCAGTACCACCTCTCAAGTCGCTTCCAGCTCAGAAATGCTGCTCATCAAAGATCAGGTCACCTTCCTCCCCAATCCCCAGACAAATGGTTCCCTTCTTCCCTCCTTCCCAGAGAGGCCTCCCCTCCCCACTCCAGGCATCCTTGGGAGAAGGAAGGGATGCATTCTAGGTGACGGTGCCCCAGCAGCGGATGCCATCTTACGTGGGAGCAGTGATGTGGAGGAGGGGAAGGCGCTTTACTGCCAGAGCTGGCTTCGAACCCTAGCTCTGCCCTTCACCGGCTGCAGCCGGTCTCTCTGCTTCCCCTTGAATGGGGACCAGAATCTCGGCTTTGCACTTTTGTAGATGGCCTTTCTCACTGGGGCTTCTGTTGCCCTGTGTGTGCACCGCAGCCTCCTTTGAGGAACCCACGCTCCTGGCTCAGTCCTCTCTGGCTGCCCCAGGCCCTGCCTTCCTGCCCCTTTCCCCTGCCTTTCCCGTCCTGCCCCCAAGCTCTCCAGGGTCAGACTTGGCGCCGTAGTCCCTAGCACGGCTTCCCTCACAATACTTGTATCAACTCGTTGAACTCTCATGGCAGCCACCTGAGGACCGTATTATCATCATTTGCATTTCGCAGGTGCAAAAACTGAGGCATGGAGATGTTAAATAGCTCGCTCAAGGTCACACGATTAGAGGTAGAGCTGGGATTCAAGTCCCGGCACAAGTGCCTCAGTGCCCACCTCTCAGACATCCATCTCCTTTGTTGCCTTCTTGTGCTCCCCTCCTTCCCTCCATCGAGCCGTGGATCCACCCACCCATCCGCCCATCCGCCCACCCAGTCATCAGCCATCCCCACCGCCGCCTGTGCTTCTCCTGCTGCCCACTTCACTGCCACCAGATTTCCGCAATGGGCACGGTGACTATGGCAGTGGCCATGGTCCCGCTCTCACACCTCACAGTCTGGTTGGCAAGACTGACAGGCATACAGGTGATGACAGCCCACTGTGGTGAGTGCTGTGAAGGGGCTCAGGCTCCGCGGGGGCACAGTGGAGGCACCTTACCCAGGCTGGGTGTCTGCAGAGAGTAACCCCTGGTCTGAGTCCCGAGGGGAGGGGTGAAGAGCATCCTGTAAAGGGATCAGCAAGTGCAAAGCCTCGGCCTCCTGGGAGAACGTGCTTCACAAGGCAAGCTGCGAGTGCTCCCTCATGGCTGCAGTTAGGATTCCAGAGGCCAAAGATGAGGCTGGGGGCGAGGCCCAGGCCAGGGGGTGCAGGGCTGTGACATCGGGCCAGCATGTGATAGGTGGTGATGGGAGGCACTCAGGGGTTTATGTGGGGGAGTGATGTGGCCATAGGGCATCGATGGGCCCCAGAGCACTCTGGCCACTGCAGGAAAGGGGGAGCCAAAGGCAGAGGGGGGAGCATGCTGTTGTAGTGGTCAAGCCCCCAGCACGGTGAGTCCTGACCAAGATGGTGACAAGGAGTTGGAGAGAAGTGGGCAGATTAGAGACCTGGGCAGGACGTAGCTTCAATGGACTTAATGACGCATTGGGTGTGCGGGCAGGGATGTCACCTCTCTGGAGACGACTCTCACCTCTTCTAGAGCTTCCTCAGGGGCCACCTTCATGCTCCTATAACCCCAGCTTTTGCATGGGCTACTTGTCATGCCTGGAAGGCCGCTACTTTGAAGGCTGTGTGAAAAGTTTTAGCCAGCAGGCAATCAAGAGCCTCTGTCAGCTTACAAGCAAAACTGTGGCATGGTCCACTGCGGGGGTGGGCAGGGTTGGGTGGGTGGAGGGACTGTGAGATTGTGGGTGTCAGATCGCAGCAGAGTCATCTCTTCTTCAGAGCATCCTTCCCTGACCCACTCACCCCTAAAATAAGCCACGTCTCTCCCTTATAACCACTCGTCCCACTCTGGACTTATACTCAAGTTGTAGTTTCATATTTACATGCATGATTATTTAATTAGTGTATATACCTCACCCTAAACTGTGTATGCTCCATGAATATAGAGACATTATCTCTCTGTCGTCATTATATCCCCAGCATCTAGCACAGTCCCTGGCACATACTAGGTGCTCAATAAATGTTGAGCAAATGAATGAATGAATGAATGATCCTGGCTGGAGCTTGGGTAGTGTGTTGGATCACTGCAATAGAAGGTTAACCAGGAAGGAGCTGCCAAGCTGTAGAGTTTGGAGGCCCAAGTTGAGCAGTTCCGACCCCAACCTCAACCTCCCCACACTGACTTTGAGGACTATCCACAGAAAAATGAGTTTTAGGAATTCTAAAATGCTAAATGGGCTGAAAAAGACCATCAGGCGCCCCAGAGGAAAGCTGGCAAGGCTCAGGGCCTGCCCGCTTTTTGAAATTACTCATCGGGTGCCAGCATTCTCTGTTGGCACAGGGACTGGAGCCCCAGCCCCGGCTGTTTTATGCACAAAGCCTGGATTTGAACCATGTATTAAATAAAACCTGGAACAAAATGTACCACATTTCCAACCCTGAAAGTATCTCAGACTTGACAACAATATATACGTTTTTAATTTTAACTACATTACAAAGTGAACAAGATTTTGTCTTGAACACCCGGCGAACCAGTTGAAACTAGAAGCCTGGTGTCATGAAAAGAGCTTGGATCTGGAGCTGGTCTTGTCTCGGTGAGCAGCCTTCCCTTGGGCCGGCTCTGTGATCACTGATTGTCCCTTTGCTCTGTGAACCTCGGTTTTCTCATCAGTAAAATAAAGTGGCTATCCTTGTTCCCTTCAACTCAGAGGTGTGGTGGAGATGTTGGATGGGAAAATGCATTGAAAACTGGATGGTATTGGACAAATAGGAGGTAGGGCCTACTTAGTCAAACTGATCTTTCAAAAGCTAGGAAATTGAAGCATCCATATATCTTTCCGACCTTTGTGGGTACATGCACATACATTACTGTTTTTGTTTTGTTAGGCCTTCATTCTCTGCGTTTCCCAATTCACAGAGAGAATCTGCTGGGCTCAGCTCACCTTTTTGCTGCAGGCCACATCATAAGCCCTTGGCCAATGGGCTGACTGCTTATCTGTGGGTACCCACCCCCCCTCCAATCAGGTGCTGTCAAGGGCTCACGTGACACGTAGGCGGCCATGCTTTCTAATTGTCCTGGGTGGGTGCTATGACTGTGTCCATTTATAGATGAGGGGGAGTCTCAGGCACAGAGACTTAACCAATGACATCAAGCTAGTAAAATGCAGAATCATGATTCAAACCCTGGGCTTGAAATATTGTTTCGTTCTATCGTCTTGTTTATCTCTGTATCTCCCGGACTTAGCAGACTGCCTGGTGCATAAATAAGCTCTCTGTATGTGTTTGCCGAAGGAGGCTTGAGGAATAATAACACTTATTTTACAAGCTTATTATGTGAATTAAATAAGTTAGTATTAGTGAAAGCATCTGGCACAGACCCTGGGATTGAGCACGGTGGTGAATAAATATTGGTGTAACTCATTCGCGGATCCATTCATTCATCCTCTCTTATGGCTTCAGGCCACTGCTCCTGGCAGATGTGGGAAGAAGACAGACCCTGACGTGCCTCCCTCGGCCCAGCCTTCTGCAGGCGGCCTCAGCTCTAGAGACCTGCTGCTCTGTCTTTCCCTCTGCTCATCCTGAGCATCTGCAAAACCCATTTGCCAGGGGAGCTCACGGTCCAGGTAAGCCCCTCTCTGACCAGCCTCCCAGGCCCACGCCCCTCCCTCCTCTCCTAGGTGACCTTCCCTGGCCCCCACCAACACTCACAGTGATCAGCCTTTTGTGTCTGATTTCTTTCACTTAATGTAAGGAGTCTGAGAGTCATCCATGTTGCCACACGTATCCATATTGTTCGTGTTGGCTGCTGAGTCATAGTCCATTGTGTGGACATGCCACACTTTATTTATCTATTTCCCAGTTGATGGACATCTGGGTTGTTTCCACTTTGGGGTTGTTAAGAATAAAGCTGCTATGAACATGGACATACATGCCTCTGAGTGGCTATACATTGTCATTTCTCTTGTGTAAATACCTGGGAATGGAATTGTTGGGCCAGATGGTAAGTGTATATTTAACTTGATAACAAACGTCCAACCTGGAACTCCTTTTCGGTTAGCGAGCTGTGTTCCTTTGTCTGTGACAGCTGTGTAGAAGTTGCTTTGTACTTGCGTTGAGTGAATTTTAGGTTGCTATGTTGTCTCTCCAAAGGGTATTTGCATTGTAACCAGAAGTCAGTAGTTGCATTCAAGAAACACCCCCCCACCTCCAAACCTTAAGTCAAGGGATTAGCTTCTCCCTCCATGAAGACATGTTTCCCATGAGCTAGCAGGTAGGAGGGCACCCCCCTAGGCCAGGTGAGATGAGAATGCCATGGGGGATACCAAGGAACCACGTGTTTGCCTGGAACTACAGGTAGATGGATCCCCTAAGATCTCTGATAACCATAATTCTGCAAGGGAGTGTGACCAGGGAGGACAAAGTTCCAGACAGAAGGGGGCTGCCGAGGTTGCCCTCCCCTCTAACACCCTCCCTTCCTTTCTGGGCTCAGGTTCCAGGGTTGCCCCTCTCAGACACCGCTTCTGCCAGCACTCCAGGGAACAATCTCATCTATCTCGATTATCGTCTTCCACTCACACAGTGGCAGAATCAGAGCATAAGTGGCCTGTAAAGGGAATTCAGTTTTACTTCCTGCCTGTCTTTGACTCCATCCATTTTTCTCCAGGCCAAGCTATCAGCTCGTGTCTGGATGACTCACTGACCTGCTGACGTATATTCTCAGCCGGTCAGCCTGCCTCTACAAAGCAGCCAGGGGAACTGCTTTATTTGTAATGTTTTGCTGTATTACCTATCTATCTCTCTATCTATCTCTCTATCTATCTCTCTCTCTATCTCTCTCTCTATCTATCTATCTATCTATCTGTCTATCATCTATCTATTGGGTCTTCGGAAAAGTCATGACGCATGTTTGCAACAGAGGGCACTAGTTCATTTTTGGAAGTACTAGAGTCATTCACATCTATGTTATTGCTATGTCATTTGACAGCTGACAGTTCTAGCTTCATTCTAAAAAAAAAATTGAGCGATTTGGTTGAGTTCTGGAGATTTTACAACAAGTTGAAGATGGAAGACCAAACTGTGCGTTTTTGCCATATTTTACTGTTTTACTTCCATAAAGGGAAGAACGCGTGTCAAATTGTGAAAAGTTGCATAAAGTTTATGGTGACAATGCTCTACAGGAATGTCAGTGACAACTATGGTTCACGAAATTCCATGCTGGTCATTTTGATCTCAACGACGTTCCTTGATCAGGGAGGCCCACTGAGGTTGATGATGACAAAATAAAGGCATTGATCGAGTCAAACCCATGTTACATGACACGAGAGATTGCAGAAACATTGAACATCCATCATTCAAGCGTTCATGACCACGTGAAGAAGCTGGGATACGTAAGCAAGCACGATATTTGGGTTCTGCACGAACTCAAAGAAATTCATTTAATGGAGTGTATAAACATCTGCAATATGCTCATTAAACATGAGGAAAACAATCCTTTTTTGAAGCGACTGATAAATGGTGATGAGAAGTGGATTGCTTACAAAGATGTGGTGTGCAAACGGTCTTGGTCCCTACGTGATGATTTGTCTCAAATGACATCGAAAGCAGACATTCATCAGAGGAAGGCTATGCTCTCAGTGTGGTGGAATTTTAAAGGTGTCGTGCTTTTCAAGCTCCTACCAAGGAACCAAAGAATGAATTCGAATGTGTACTGTTGGCAATTGGACAGTTTGAACGAATCCATCATCCAGAAACGTCTAGAGCTTGTTAATTGTAAAGGAGTTGTGTTCCATGGCGACAATGCAAGACCACACACAAGTTTGATCGCCCGCCAAAAACTATTGGAGCTTGGATGGAATGTGTTGCCACACCCGCCACACTCGCCTGACCTTGTGCCGTCAGACTTCCGCTTGTTTCGCTCTTTAAAACTTCTTGCGTGGTGTAACATTCAATTCAGATGAGGCTGTAAATCAGCACCTTGTTCAGTTTTTCACAATTAAAGACAGGTCTTTCTATGAACGAGGAATTATGAAGCTCACTGAAAGATGGCAAAAGGTTATGGAACAAAATGGGCAATATGTCATTGCTTGATCTTTGTTCTTTATATAAATAAATGACCTTTGAAAAACATAGACAATATACGTCATGACTTTTCCGAAGACCCAATATCATCTATCTATCTATCTATCTATCTATCTATCTATCTATCTATCTATCATCTATCTATCATCTATCTATCTATCATCGATCTATCTATCTAAATCAGGAAACACACGGTTCAAAATTTAAAAAGTACAAAAGGTGGGTCGAGAAAAGTCTCCGTCTCACTTCCTTCTCCAGGCACCCGGCTTTGCTCTCTGGAGAAAGCTAGTATACTAGTTTCTTAGGAATTCTTTCAGAGGTGTTCTGTGTGTATATGAATGCATAGGCACATACAGTTGACCTTGGAACAATGTGGGGTTAGGGGTGCCAACCCCCACGCAGTCAAAAATCCAAGTGTAACTTTTGACTCCCCAGCAATTTAACTATTAGTAGCCTACTGTTGACCGGAAGCCTTCCTGATAACATGAATAGTTTATTAATACATATTTTGTATATGTATTATGTACGTATCCTTATAGTAATATAAGCTAGAGAAAAAATGCTATTAAGAAAATCATATGGAAGAGAAAATACATTTACAATATTTATTGAAAAAAAAACTGTGTGTAAGGGGACCCACATGGCTCAAACCCATGTTGTTCAAGGGTCTGCATATTTTCTTCTCCTGCTGCTGTGTCTCACACAGATGGTAGCCCATGATAAACACTGTTTTGCCCTGGCATTGCGCAGTTAACATATCTTGGAGACACTACCTTCTTTGTACAGGAAGAGTCACGCCCCCCTCCCTTGACATTTTGAAAAAATAGCTGTAGGTTTTCCATTGTATGGAGATATCATCATTTCTTTACTTGGTCCCTTGTTGATGGACACTTAGGTTGCCTCCAACCTTTTAAGAGGTTTCTTCTTGAAACACAACAGTGATCGTGTTATTTCCTTGTTGATAGACAGTTATTTAGTAGCTTCCCGTTTCTCTGAGGATAAAATACATCTATAATGTGGCCCCAGGACAGGCCTGGTCTGTGCTCCACTCCCTCTTGGGGATCTCCCCTTCGCCCTCAGAGTTCAGACCCCCAGGCCTTTTTTCAGTTTCCCCAGCATGCCATGCTCCACCGCACCTCAGGGTTTGTACACGCTGCTCCCTTTGCCTGGACTGTTCCCCCACTTGGCCTACTTAACCCTCCTCATCCTTCAGATCTTGGGGAAACTTCCCATGATCCCCACACCTGGCCAGGTCTGGTGGCCATAGCGCCCTGTGACTCTGCTTCAAATCTCTTACCACCATTTATTCCTATTCCGTTTGTAGTGAGTCAATGTCGGTATCTCCCACTAGACTGGAAGTGCCAGTTCTCCTGTTTTACTCATCACTTTATCCCCAGTGTCCAGCACAGTTCCGTGGAACGTAAAGACAGTAGCTAACATTGACTGAGCGCTCACTGTGTGCCAGGCACTGCTGTAAGCACTTTACATGTCGCTGTTCTTTAACCAACGTGGAAACCCATGAGGTGTAGATTTGATGATCGACTCCATTTGACAGACAAGGAAACAGAGGCACAGGTTGGTGAAGCAGGTCACCTAAGATCATGCCAACCCTGCCACTGCATGCCACCCTGCCTCCGCCTATGTAGGTGTTCAATAACTATTTGTCGAATGAGTGATTCATGAATGAGAGAACGAACAGCCAAACAAATTCCCATGTTACAGCTAGGAAAGTTGACACCCGTCTCGAGTAGAGCAAGTGACCAGGTCATTCAGTGAGGCAGCGGTGGAACGGGGCAGGCAGGGACTGGGAGGCTGGATTCTCCCCGCTGCCCCACCTGGCCTCCCAGCCACGGGCCTCTCTAGCCAGGTGGCCCAGAGTCAGCCCCGCTCAGCCCACACCTCACTGCCTGTTGCCTCCTTCTTCCATGCGGCTCTCATCACACTCTCCCTAGGACTTTCCAAAGCTTGCTCCTGGGCGCCTCCTCCCAGGAAACCAGCAGGCAGCTCCTAACTCCCCCTGTTCCTCCACTCTGGCTCTGACACCCTCCAGCACCAACCCACACAGCCAGGGCTGCAGGCGCAGCCCAGGAATCAAGCCACATCTCCATTCCCCCCATCTTTTTAGTTCTTCAAATTATTTCTGTCCTTTCTTCAACAGCCAGGTCTCTGTGTGATCCTCGGAGTTCCCTCCTCGGATTTATTCTACCAAAGAAGCTCTGTTTGTGGTAAGAACAAATGTCTCTTAGCAACATCTTGTAGCTCATCTCTTCATAGAAGGTATTTCTCTAACGATCATAGGTCTATTTTTATAGGCTCCTTCCTTCTCAGGATTGCAAGAATAATGTTCCTGCAGCGTGTTTCTGTTCAGTGATCTTCACTATAACCGTACTTGGTGGGAATGAATTATTCCCCACTTTACAGATGAGGAACTGCATAGAGAACTCTGGCTGCATTGGCACTGCAGTGGGTCCAGCCTCAGCGGTGAATCCTGATTGGTCGAAATGGAGCCTGATGATCTCATTCTCCTTTGCCAGTGATTGGTGTAGGAGTGGGCATGTGACCCAGTTCTGATCAATGAGATGTAAGGAGAGTTTTTCCTTACTAAAACCCTGGGTAGAGGGGGATACCCAGGAAGAAGGCAGCCTTTTTTTTTTTTTTTTGATAACTTCTTTTAGCTTTGGGTACTGTTTATAAAGACTTGATACCCAGAGCTGTGGCAACCATTTTGTGACATGAGGCAATAAGCTTGAGGATAAAAAGTCATAATGCTCAGAACGGCAGAGTGGAGTGAGCCTGGATCCTTCTTGACAATGCTGAGCCAGCGGCCCAACTCTGGGACCACCTTCCTCCAGTCTTATTACGTACACCGGTCCTTATAGTTGAGTGACCATTGATCTGGTTTTCTGTAACTTGAAGCTGAAAGCATTCTTTTTTTTTTTTTATTGTTAGTTTCGGGTGTACAGAACAATGCAATAGTTACCCTTTTCACCCTCACAAAGTAACAACCCCCCTCTCCCCATCTATTGCCCTCCCACCCCCGATATCATGCTTATCTATTACAATTCCATTGAATCCGTTCCCGCACTCTACTCCATGTCCCGAGGTTATATGTATATATAATTACAGTTGACATACAGTATTGAAAGCATTCTTTAATGATAACAGTGAGGATGCCCTTACTGACCCCTCAGAAATGCCCACGCCTCCTTAGGAAGTAAGACACAAGGTACAGGGGGAAAGTGCTGAGCTGGGGGTAAGCCAAACTTGGGCTTCAGGCCCGGCTCTACTGCGAATTAGCAGTGGGGCCCACGGCAAAGTCACTTGCTCTCTCGCTACTCTTATGTTTTCTCCTTAGTAAGAGGAGGGGTTGCATCACATGAAGGGCATCTCCTAACAAGGACTCACAGGCCTCCAGAGCCACAGTGGACTGCCTGCACTGCTATTGATGACAGTGATGAGTGGAGAGGGTGCACGTTCAGCTCATGGCGAGTATTTGGAGGTGACTCAGAGAGGAATCAGATGGCCTCAGAGTCTTCATTTGTTCCTCCTCCCCATTTGTCAGCAATCCTTCATCATGCCCCATTTTCAGAGTGTATTTTTAGTGGAAATAAACTTGGATAGCTCAGGATGACACAATTCCTTCAGGAGTTTTGGCATCACCTGCTGACTGAGCCAAGCTGGTGAGCAGAGCACGTGGAGGTGGTGAGGCCCATTGGCCCAGCAGTTCAGGCAGGTGGGCTGACGAGGGAAATCATTTAACTTTGCTGTAAAAACAGAAACTCCCCAGTAGCTACAGCCTGAGGGTGAGGTGAATAACTGTCTTCCAAGTATTCACCCTTGAGCTCGGGAAACAGAGCTGCTTGTGTTGAGGCCCTGTTTGCCTTCTAAATTCAGGGCTGGATCTTGCTTGTATTCTAATGAGCCCTTGGATAAATTTGGAAAAGCATGCTTGGGTGTGGGTAACTGGGGGATTTTAAATCCTCTGCCTAAATAAAGGAGAATAATTTAGAGTTTGTAGAGGCCATAGAGAAGGCAGAGTGTCATAGACACTGTTGGTGACCTGCCCAGATCCCCTTTGTGGGACGGGTTCACCTTCCCTCCTGTGGCTGGAGACCATACCCTTCAACCGAGAACTGCCCCACCTAAGGAAGCCTGGTAGGCCATCCTGCCTGCCCTCAGCCAATGAATGGCCCACGCAGAGGTCTAAAAGGCCATGTCCCTTGGCTCAAGGTAAGATAATCTGTGGAGCTGTTCACACTCTAGAGCTCCTGTGGGATCCAGCTGAGGCTAAGCTTCCACTGAACCCCCATCTCAGCTTCCCCCACGTCCCCTGCTCCTTGACCAGTTCCGCCTGAGAGCACACCTTCAGTAGGCCATTTGCTCAACAATCTTTGTTTCAGATGCTGCTTCTTACAGAACCAAATCGGTGATCATGGGAATGAGAAGGAGAGATGGGCCACTAGGCTGCCCCTTCAGATGGGACAAAATGGCCAAAGTCCAAAGCCTTTTGAAGCACATGAATGTTTAATGTCCTATTTGAATTACTACTTATTAGATGGGCCGATTTGGGCAGGTTTTTTTCATCTCTTGCTGTGATGTAACCTTTTAGCCCATCCCTTCCAATCTTAAAAAAAATCTCTTATACACAGACATGCCTTGTAGGTATGGATGTGTGTGTGTGAACACGGTGTAAATCTAGTTGGGTTTCCCAATTAGATTAACCCAAGACAGAGAATGTGCAGGACAGTGAGACAATCCATAAATGGAGTTAACTCAGCAGAAACATGAGCTGGAGGTGGCCATGAGGATACAAATCCTTTGGAAGTTAGCATAAATGTTGGGGAGGGCTTGGGACTTCCTTGGGGAGTAGAATGGGGATTAGAATCATTCTCATCTAGATCTGAAAGAGCAGAAAGTCCCCAGCTGGGGTGGAGGACACTACCGGTCACACACACAACACCCATTCTCCCTGTCTTCCTCGATAATAGAGCACTGGTTTATTCTAAACAGATGTGCTCAGTTAAAATAATGCAGTTCCCGGAGCAGTTGGGGTGGCCAATGAGACATAAATACAAGCTTCCGAATGGAACTGCTCAGAAGATTCCTTAGAAAGAGCATAGCCTGGGCCCTTTTGGTCATTTTCTTTCCTCTGCGTTCCTGCCTGGAACATAGATGTGATGACTAGAGCTCTAGCAGCCATCTGGAGCCATGATGTCACCTCGAGGATGGAAGTAGATGTGAGGGTGGCAGAGCAGAAAAATCCAAGGATCCTGAGGCTCTGAAGACCTCATGGTGGTGCCGTGCTGGCCTCTTGTGGTTCACGCTGCTGAAGTGGGAACTTCAGTGCATGTAGCTGTGCCCGGCTCCTGAATCAGCACAGCCTCTGCCAGGTGCTCCCTTTTCCCAGGATTATCGTTATTGCTTATTAGCATTTTCTCCATGGAAACGACTTTGGGAAACAGCCTAATGAAGGGGGAAAGACCATGGGCTGTGGAGTCAGATTGAGCTGGATCTCGGGTCTCCTGCTTCCTGTCCTCATGACTTCTTACAAGTCAGTCTCCTAGAAGGTCATTCATCCTCTGTGACATGGGTGTAGTAAATTCTCATAGGTCCTCAGATTCCTTCTCATTAAATGAAGCTGTAAGTTTGCTGTAGGGATTACAGGGGATTGCATGTATATAAGGCTCCTATCATGTGGTTTGGCACATAGTGGGCACTCAAAAGATGTTAGGCACTTTAACTCCACAAGTTCTTCCAACTATCTGCCTTGATGACATTTGAATGAAACAGATTGAGAATGCTGAATGAAAAAGAAGTATTCAGACCATTGCGATGGGGGCTTGGGGCTGGCAGTTGGGTTAAGCTGAGTGGTCTTTAAGACCCTTTTGGTTCTAACATGATGAGCACCAGACCTGTGGGGGTGGGATGTGGGAAAGAAGGTGGGAGGATGATTTTCCTCTCTTCTTGGTCATAAACACAGTTTTTTGCTCCCTTGTTCAGTGGCAGACATTAAAGGAGCCACAATAGCTGGAGAATTCTCCCACTTCCCTCCAGATGGCTGGATGACAAACACGTACCCCTCGCTGGAGCCCCCCTGAGTGTGCTGATGGAGAATGGGGAGTTACACTTCCTCAGGGACCAGGATGGGGAGGCCCAAGGTCGGAGCCACCCCTTGCCTTTCATCCACATTAGCCAAGGCTCTTGTGGGCTCCATGTTTTCCTCCGTCTTGAATTAGTAACAGCAGGGCAGGACCATGTCAAATCCTTAATTATAATCACAGGAAAGGAGACTTATACAGTGCTAGGCTCAGTTCTTGATGCTTCATAAATCTGAACTCACTTAATCCGCACAACCACCCTATAAAATAGGTGCTGCCATTATCTCATTTTACCATTGGGTTAATCAACCAAGACAGAGGGGCGAGTGACTTGCCCAAGGTGACAGCAGCTCCACGTGCTGCAGTGGCTCCCCAGTCGTGGCTCCTAGCCTCCGTGCTGTCCTCTCCCAGAGCTGGAAGGGGGCGCTGTGGAGAGGACCACATTCAGCCCCCTCAATTCATGCGTGGGAAGAACGGGCTGAATAGGCCTCCCTCCTTCACCACGAAGCTGCAACTTGCTCAGCAATCAGCTCAGCAAAAGGTCAGACTTGGGAATAATCAGATAACCCTCGACATTTCCTTTGGCATCATCGCACGGCAGCCCCACAGACTCTCTCTGATCGGATCAGCTCGACCTGATTTTCCTCCAATGCTGGCTCTGATACCTGTCTCCTCACCTCTGGCCAGATGTGAGGGTCCAGGTAGAATGAAAAATGTGGATGTCGAAACCCTGGATTTCAGTTCTGGGAGGGATGTGCAGGAATGGAGGCAGACGGAGAGGTGGGTCCAGGGAGATGGGCCTCGCTCTGGAGGAGGGATGGGGGATGGGGCCGAGGCAGTGCTGTGTGGGTCTGTCCCGCAGCTGCTCCCCCACTAAATGCCAGTAGCACCTCCATCGCGGCACAATACAAATGCCCTCTCGCATTTCTTAATGTGTCCTGGCGGCGGAGGTGAGGACAGAGGACTGGTGAATTGAACTTAATGCTCGTTGAATGATGTGGGGTAGAATTGCTGTCTTTCTCTTTCTCTTTCACACACACACACACACACACACACACACACACACACACACACACACACACACGGTTAAGCTCCATAACTCCATCCAACGTGGGGATGCCTGCTGTCACCCACACAAATAATAAAAAGGAACATTAATTTTCCTTCCCCAAGGACAAATTTGGACTTATTGTCTGTGCAGTTTTTATAACATTTTGATTGTTTAAATTCTCCTGACTTCAGAGCAACTGTTTATTAGGTTGAAGAAAACTCTAGCTTACTTTGCACAATTCCACACGCACCCTGTTTTGGTCTTTGGTCCACGTGTTATTTGTGACGCTGTAAATTATTTCTACCCCAGCACTGGGGATGGGAATCAGCACTCCCAAACAAAATAACTTCAGCTGTCAACGCAAAGGAAACAACCTGACATGTGTGGCCTCAATGGGATGCTCGGCTCAGGGGTCCTTATTACGGAGCAGGTCTCAATCTTGAGAGAGACTCAGACTCACACAGAGGGCTGATTAAAATGCGGATGGGTGGGTTCACCGGCAGTTTCTGACTTGGAGGTCTCAGGTGGGGCTGGTGAATTTGCGTTTGTAACAAACTTCTGCGTAATGCTGATGCTACTGGCCTGGGGACCACATCCTCCTCCTAGTAACTGCACTATCCTAATTATAGAACCTCTTTCCTGCCAATAATTTAACAACCAGCTACTTAATACGTGTATTCATTCCAACACATGGCTCATTCATTTGTTTGACAAATAATTATGGAGCGGCTACTGTGTGCCAAGGTCTAGGCACTAGGGACTTTGCCGTGGAGAAAACAAAGCCCCTGACATCAGCCGAGATGCTAACTTCCTCGTCACGCAAGAGGAAAGCAATGACAGATAACTGATTAGAAATAAGAGACAGCGAGGGGCAGGGATAAATGCTACAACGAACAATTAAACAGGGCAAGGCAGTGATGGGAGATGCTATTTTAGAAACGGTGGCCAGCGAGGGGCTTTTTAAAGAGGTGGCATTTGCAAAGACTCAAAAAGACTGTGAGCAGTGCAGACATCTGGAGGAAGAACATTCCAGGTAGAGGGCTCGACAAGTGCCATGTCCTGGGAGAGGGATGTGTTTGGCATGTTCAGGGACCACTAAGGACATCGGGAGGACTGGAAGGAAAGGAGTGAGGGGTGAGAGGTAGGAAAAGAAGGTGGAAGGTGGGCGGCAGGGCCTGGCACATGGAGGGGCTTCAAGGGCACAGTGAGGACTGGGGGTTTTAATTGAAGGAGAAGGGGAGCCGTGTGACATGATCTGATTTCTGTCTTAAAAGTAGGGCTCTGGGGCCGGCCAAGTGGCGCGATGGTTAAGAACTCGCTTGGGATGCCAGAGGGCCCCGGTTCGGATCCCACATATGAGGGCCAGTGACACTGCCCTCCACAACAGCTCAACCTGGAGCTGGGCTGCCATGAGTCACCGGCGACGGCGTGGGCTGCAGTCCCTGTGGCAGTGGATTGCCATGGGCTACCATGTGAAGCCAGCAGCCAGCGTGAGCGGCCAGCAGCCGCAGTGAGCAGCCGTCCAGAAGCCGGCGACTGATATGCCTCGCCAGAGAAGAGCGCAATGATGGTGCCAACTTGGGCCAGTGAAGCAACATCCTCCACAACTAGATTGAAGAACAAAACGACAGCAACTTGTCTGTTCCCCTTCCCCCAATTCCCCAGCGCTGTTCCCATCCCCCCAATTCCCCAATAAAAATCTTTAAAAAAAAAAAGTAGGGCTCTGGCTGCTGTATGGACAATAGAATGCAGAGTGCCAAGCATGAAGGCAGGGAGACCAGCCAGGGGGCTGCTACTGTCATCCAGGCAAGACATGATGGTGGCTAGGTGAGGACAGGAAGCGGCGAGGCCGTGGAGGTGGTGAGGCCATGGAGGTGGCAACAAGCGGACAGATTTACATGGGCAGAGCCAGTAGGGTTTGCAGTTCAACTTGGGCAAGTGAACTGAGAGCCAGCCTGAAGTCAAGGGCCTCTCGCCAGTTTTGAGCTTGGGCGGCCAGGTACCTGGTGGTTATTCAGCGGTTCTCAGGTGCTGGATATGGTTCCTGGAAGGGCCACCAGGGAAAGAGATAACGGAGACGTGGTGTCCACCCTCAGTACCTCAGAATGTGAAATGCTCCACAAACCTTCATCAAGGGTCTGGGTAAGATGATTCCTCCGAGCAGGGAAGTCCCATGTGGTCCACCTTTTGTCAGTTTATCTGATCCGAGATCCCTTTCTGGCCTCCACTTCTGATGTCATGGGAGAAGCCACCTTGGCAGCAAGCACTCAGCTGGTTGGACACCCTGTAGGTCAGAGGTGTCTGGTTTGCATACTTGCTAGAATTGGAAAGGACCAAAGAAATTAGTTGAGGAGAATCAACTAAAAACGGCATTCCAGACGAAGTCTTAGGTAGACTTACTAAAATCACTCAGCATCTGTAGAACTAATTACAGCTCTTAACCTCACAGGTAGGCTGTGCTCTAACAGAGCCAACGCTTCTAGCCGTGGAGGCCGGAAGTGGTGATTTAGTCTTGATTCTTCCTCAGGTGCTAGCGGACGAGACAGAGGATAGGGATCTCAGATTTTCTTGGCATTTTTTCTAGTAGTCAGTTAGTTATTCCTATGTAATTCAAATGTCAGATGGAGCCCTCCTACCCCTTGGGAGCTTCCAACGTATTAGTATGAACTTTCCAATTCCATGCCCCGTGGAAGTCTAAGGAAACATTTCTGGGAATTCCGGAGGGAAGGCAGGGACTCCTGTTATCAAGGCCACCTCTATCTCCAGGCTATTGCTTCCCCTGATATTGTCTTTGTGTCACCCCAAACTGATGAGACATGAAGATCATTCCTTTCTTTGTTTCCTCCTGTAACCTGACGACGAGCAAGGGTCCCAAGTGGCTCAGTCTTTGGATGCGGTTGTACTCGGGATGCACAGTCCAGCAATCAAAGGTAATTAAAAAATAATTCCAATCTTTATTTTTATCTTTCAAATCAAACTGAAGAGTTTCAGATCATATTTCACGGCTTCTCCAGACTCTCTTCTTTGTCTTGCCTGCTCTGGTTCACATATCCGTGTGCGCCTGCACTGTTCACCTCCAATCCTTTCCAACTTTCTGCCACGTCTTCCCCCTTCCCCTCGGCCCCTGTAGCCCCTGTTTCTTTATTTCTGACCATTCTTCAAATTAAGTGTCACAAGAGGGCTGTAAAATACAATGTAAAAGACAGAACCTGCATTAGAGGGCGCGTGCGCATGTGTGTGTGTGTTAGAGGCAAGCTTTATTAATGATTATTATACCCATCCTCTCTTCCCAACTGTGCCTACTAAAGCACTAAAGATAAATTTGCTTGTCTACTTAACGTCTCCCCTTCTGCTGCTCACACAAAGCAGCCATCGGTGTAAAACCCATCACTGAAGACTTGGCGGGGGGAAGGGGAGCAGGGAGAAAGCCAGGGTTTCTATAACAGAAACGCAAATCACTTTAGAATGTACAGTAAGCATCTCCGCTCTTAAAAGACCTTTCAGACGCCTGCTCCTGGAGGCCTCGCCCCACATGAGCCCATCTCAAGCCATCTTAGTGGCTTCTTACGGTCTACCCTGACCTCCAGCGTCTCTGCTCTGCTCCTCCCAGGAGCAAAAACCATGCATTCCAGTTCACATCTTATGCAAAACAGTTCTGCCCGTTAGCAAAGGAATGGAAAGCCTGGGCGTTGAAGCCCTGTGTCTGGGTTTGAATCTTGCCTCTGCTTCTCAGCTGTGTGATCGTGGAAGAGCTTCCTAACTTCTTGCACCTTAGTTTCTTCATCTGCAAAATGGAACCAACACTCATCCTCCCTTCCTCATAGGGTTGTTGGGAGGATTCACTGGGTTACTGGACTTAAAGCACTTAGGGAAGCCCCTGGTGCGTCGTAGCAGGGGCTCATGAAGTGGGCTGCACTTTGGCTGCAATGCTGGCTCCCCACACCCACCACACCTTCAGATACAGTTAAATGCACAGACAGGGAGCCAAGCTGCCGGCCTGGGTGGGCAAGGGGGTTGGTGTGGGGGGCAGGAGAGTGCCGAGAGCAGAAGAGAGGGCTGCGGAGAGTCCCTGCCAGGCTGAGGTGCTTGGCCTTCAACGTTGTTATTAATAATAATGACGAAGCAAGAAGAAGGAGCGTCACCTTTGCACTCTGAGATACCAAGCACTGCATCACGGAGCCCGGATTCTCTTATTTCTCCCGTTTTACAGACGAATAAACTCAAGCGCAGAGAGCAGAGGCCGCCCATGGAATTAGTGGCCAGGCCTGGCGGATACTCAGGTCTTCCCAACCTCCAGGGGTCAGCAGTGAGAGCCGGGGTCATCCCGTGTACCTGGCAGCCTCTGCGTATTGACAGGGGTCACTCTCTACGGACAGTCCTCTCCCAGGATGGGGTGTGTGTGTGACAGTCTTGTTCCCTTTCCCCTCCCCTCTCACCGTCTCCACAGCTCCCTCTGTGCAAGGTTGCAAACTAACTGAGGACTCCCTCGGGCCAGCCTCAGCCCTTGGTGGTCTGTCATCTATGGAGTTGAGTTTAATGGCCTTTGTGGGTCCAGGAGTCCCAGACTCCCTCCCCCACTTTCCTTGTCTTGATGGGACCTAGCAAGGTAGGGACGGGGGGGTGGCAGGGAAGGGAGGAGAGAACCTTTTCCAACGAGAGAGGGGCTGCACCTCTCCAACCCTGGTTTGGCATTTTATGTGCTGGGAATGAGAAACCCAGCGTTGCTATGGAAACTGCCATCCCCTGTTCCCTCTGTCATTCTCTGTGGGAAGCTCCTGTGTCAGGGGTGGGAGGTGGGTGTGGAGGGGGCACTCCTGCTGCACAGGGCCTGGGACTGCAGCAGGACTGGCTCTGGGGTAGGGGATGCAGGGGAGGATGGGAGCTCCCAGGAGGGGCTTCCAGGGCTTCTGACTCAAGGACAAGGCGAAGGGCAGCCACGGAGCTCAGGTTGTTCCTCTGGAGCCATCCTGGCACCGGTCAGTCACACTTCGAGAGGCAAAGAACAGGTTGCAAATTGCAGCCAGATGGGCTGATGCAAAGAGCTTGGGTCTTGCAGTTACCGAGCTCAGGCTCAAATACCAGCACAGCTGGCTTCCCCACGCCTCCGTTTCACCGCGTCTAGAAGATGTGCTGAGTGACGGCACCCTCGCAGAGTGCTTACACGGGACCGTGACTGTGTACCTGTCCCCTGCCTGGTGTCCATATAGAAGGCAGCATCCAATTAAGGAGGGTCCCTTCTCCCCCATCCCCCATCTCAACCTGATCCCACTCAGGTAGACAGTATGAGCCCCACTGTACAGATGAGGAGACTGAAGCCCAGCCACGGGAAGGAAGGGGCTCACAGCCCACAGGGAGTCAGGGCAGGGCTGGGGACTGATGCAGGAGCCTTGAACTCTTCCCGCTTCCCGCCTCCCCGCAGCTCCTCATGCTCTTGGCTGCTGCCTGGAGCCGGCCTTAACTACCAGGCATGTGACCTGCAGGGTTCCCTCATCCTCGGCCACATGCTAAGCCACCATGCCTCTTGACGCTGTCATCAGGGGGACCAGGCCTATGGCAGAAACAATTCTCTCTTGACTTTTAATATTAAAATAGAATAAAGTGCTATGCTTTCTCTGTGGTGGGAGAAAAGATAAGAGTGGGGGGAAAAATAATTCTCCAAGTCCTCACATCACCACCCCCATCAGCACCCCTCTCAGCTCCCAGAAAGGAAAGAGTCCCTTGCAGGTGCTGTGTTAGCTCTTTCTGGGGCAGAAGAAGGTGGAAAACTAATTTTAACTTCTCAGGGAATTTTTTTTTTTTATAGCTTTCCTGTTTATCAGATCAAGGGTTAGGACATCAGGTGCTCCTGAGAGCAACGAGTCAGGGGAAGACACGAAGCAGAGGGTAATTTGGCCTCCACCAGCCAGGCCCTGCAAAGCCCAGTGGGGAGGGATGCTGAGAAGGTCAGGTCTTGCTGGTGCTCACCATCTTCCCTTCCCCAGAGAAGCCCCTGCTCTGCCTTCTCCAAGTCAAGGAAAGCGTCAACCTAAGAGTTAGGAGACTGAAGCCAGATGCATGAATGTGTGCGACCTAGATTTGCTGTGTGGCCTTGGGCAAGTCACTTCCCCTCTCTGGGCCTCAGTGGCCTCATCTGAGACAAAGGGACAATAATTGCTGTCTTGCCCACTTCCCAGCGTAGCGGTGGAAGCTCAAAACAGCACTGGGCTGATTTTTTCTTTCTTTTTTTTTTTTTTGTGGCCACAGCATTAAGAGGGGCATAGTAACACTGGAGAGGGTCCCCTGAGGAGTGTTTAGAATGGGGT